GACTCTACAGCTGGCTAGACACCCACCCCCTCCCTCCGCCCAACTCCCACAGAAGCTTAACAAACTCTGGCAGCAACAAAACCCAGCAGGTGTCTCAGAGTACACTGGAGCTCAGAGAAGCCTCCAAGGAAGCAGAGGAATCAGCATGGTGGAGTTTGCACCTTTGTTTGTGCCCCTGGAACGCAGGCTACAGACNTAAACATTGCACATGTAGTGAAGAGATGGTTCAAGCTGGCCTAGTACAGTTGTTTGGGGAAGGTGAAGATGTGGCCTGAAAGGCCAACAAGGACGTGTTACTGAGAACTCAGGCTCCAGCAACAAATACTTTCCAGTGGGTTACTTGTTTAATGTGTTTCTTCCCTCTTCTCTATAATTCACACACTCACGCAGGAAGGTAGTTTAGATCAGTTCAGTCACTCAGTCGTGTCAGACTCAATGCAACTCCATGGACTTCAGCATGCCAGGCCTCCCTGTCCATCACCAACTCCCGAGGTTTACTCAAACTCATGTCCATTGAGTTGGTGATTCCATCGAACCATCGAATCCTCTGTTGCCCTCTTCTCCTTCTGCCTTCAGTCTTTCCAGCATCAGGGTCTTTACAAATGAGTCAGTTCTTCACATCAGGTGGACAAAGTACTGGAGTTTCAACTTCAACATCAGTCCTTGCAAAGGATATTCAGGATTGATTTCCTTTAGGACGGACTGGTTGGGTCGCCTTGCAGTCCAAGGGACTCTCAAGAGTCTTCTCCAACACCACAGTTCAAAAGCATCAATTCTTCGGCGCTCAACTTTCTTTATGGTCCAACTCTCACATCCATACATGACTGCTAGAAAAACCATAGCCTTGACTAGATGGACCTTCGTTGGCAAAGTAATATCTCTGCTTTTTAGTATGTTGTCTATCTTGGTCTTATCTTTCCTCCCAAGGAGTTAGAGTTCTTTTGATTTGATGGCCACAGTCACCATCTACAGTGATTTTGGAGCCCCCAGAAATAAAGTCAGTCACTGTTTCCACTGTTTACCCATCTATTTGCCATGAAGTGATGGGACCAGATGCTATTTACTTAGCTTTCTGAATGTTGAGCTTTAAGTCAACTTTTTCACTCGCCTCTTGCACTTTCTTCAAGAGGCTCTTAAGTTCTTCTTCAATTTCTGCCATCAGGGTGGTGTCATCTGCATATCTGAGATTATGAAGGAGTGATGGAGATGTGAGAGTGAGGGAGATGTTTAGATGCGGGAGTTTCTGATCCAGTAGAAATGCCCACAGTTTTAAATTCTTTTTTTGGACTGAAAAACAAATGCATGCTATTTTAACACATGGAAACAAAATGTGTGCTCTAAAAGTCATATAGACTTTCCCCAAATCCTACCCTACAATGAACTGCTCTTAACAACTGGTTTTATTCTCTCAACCTGGAAGGAAGATGGAGCAGGAAGGTAAGGTCCTTTCAAATAGCTGGTGTTGTTCTCATCTGCATCTCTATCTCCTAGAAGAGTTAGCGTTGATAAATGCTTGTTGAATGAATGAATGTTGGGAGCTTGATATGGACACAATAGTAGAATTGAAACCACCACTTATCCTACTAGCTTTCTGTATGAGGTTAGCTAACCTGAACACCCTCTCTGGGTCTCGGTAAAGTGGGATTTTACATCCTTCCTTTGCGGTGTTATGAACGGAAGGCAGGCATTTCCTTTCTTAGGGACTGCAAATATACCCAAGTTCGGATTTTGCCTGCTGACAGTCGTCAAAGGAGACGCCAGAGTGAGGGAGATATTTAGATGTGGGTGTTCTTTCAGATCATGTAGAAGTGCCCACAATTTTAAATTCTTTTTTCTGACTGAAAAACAAATACATGTTATTTTAACACACTGAAACAAAATGTGTTCTGAAAGTCAAAGATTTCCTCTAAATCCTACCCCACAATGAACCACTATTAAAACTGGTTTTATTCTCTCTACCTGGATGGAAGTTCTAGTTTCATGGGTACAGAGGTTCAGTCGGAAGATGAAGAGAGTTCTGAGATGAAGGCTGGTATCGTTTCCACAAGAATGTGAATTAATTTAATGCCACCAAATTGACAGTGAAAAATCATTTCTAGTATATCTCCAGGAGGGGGATTGCTGGGTCCTATTGTATTCTAATAGTTTTATAAGAAATCTCCATACTGTTCTCCATAAGGCCTCTGTCATGAGCTTATAGTTTGAAAAGATACAGTCTCCCGAATGTTCATAACAGCACATTTACAATAGCTAGTACTGATCCTTTATTGGACCGGAACCTGGTTGTCCCGAGTCAACAATGAGAGAGTGAAAGAAGGAAAGAGGCTAATATTTCCTGGGTTACGCAGCTGGCTTTCACATTCCAGGGAATCAGCCAGAAATAGAGAGAGAGAGAGAGGGACAGAGAGAGAGAAAGAAAGAAAGAAAGAAAGAAAGAAAGACACGGGGACCCAAGCTGTGATGGAGCAAAGGTGCTTTACTGAATTCTGTAAGAGTATATATACCAGTAGCCTCTTTAGATAAAGGTCAAGAGACCAGACTTTACAAGTTTACCAAGGAAACAAGGAGCAATAGAGGCCAAAAGGCCAAGAGGCAATCCATAACAAAGTTCGTATCAGTTCAGTTCAGTCGCACAGTCATGTCTGACTCTTTGCCACCCCATGAATCACCGCACGCCAGGCCTCACTGTCCATCACCAAATCCCAGAGTCTACTCAAATCCAAGTCCATTGAGTCAGTGATGCTATCCAACCATCTCATCCTCTGTTGTCCCCTTCTCCTCCTGCCCCCAATCCCTCCCAGCATCAGAGTCTTTTCCAATGAGTCAACTCCTTGCATGAGGGGGCCAAACTATTGGAGTTTCAGCTTCAGCATCAGTCCTTCCAATGAACACCCAGGTGTTTTTATTTGTTAGTTTCATGCACATAGAACTGTTTTGCCACATGGCTCTAAGGTTTCTGAGCAGTTACTCTCCAGCCCTGTACTTACCTCGTCAGGAGCCAGTAACAGGCAGGACCAGACAAAGCGGGTCCTCAGACCACACAGGAGCCACACTACCCAGGACATAAGTTGCTCCCTGGTTGTTTACTTATAAGAGGGTTGTGAGGTGAAGGGCACAGAACCGCTGGTGGACTGTGGAGTGCTGTACATGGGTCAGTAGGGGCCCCCATCTTAGCCCCTGATATCCAGTAGAATGAGGAGCTCTGGGAAGGGAAGGACTTCCATTAGGAAAGCACTGTAGCCACAGTGAAATATCCTAGGTGCCTAGGCCATCAGCCATGAAACGCAGCGTACTGAGCCCTGGATGCCTAGGATATCCCTGTGTGACCACTTTGGAAAACCCTGTGGCTATGTGGAGACTGTAGCATGGGCAGGTGAGGGGAAGTCAAGTTCAGTTTTAGACGGGCTGTGATGGACAGCCTAGTCAGTGGCGAGGATGGAGAGGAAAGTGTAGGTTCAAAGACTGAGGGGACAGAAGGGCACTGAAGCACTTAGTCTGTTGAAGGCTAAGAGACACCATGCAGACCCAGAGGTAGACGGAGGGGCAGGAGGGAAACCAGAAGGGTGTGGTGTCCATAGATCAAGTAGTTTCGAGGAGGAGGGAAGAAATAGTTGTGTCTGAGGCTGCTGAGAGGTCAAAATGAGAGCTGAGAATTGATCACTGTATTCAGCAGGCTGGAGTCCATTTGTGAGGTGTCAAGGGAAGTTCCATGGAACAGAGGTATCTGAAGTCTGGAAAAGGGAGGACAGAGTGGAAGAGAGGGCATGGAAATCAGACGGCTCTTGCGTGAGTTTTGCTGTCTAGGCAAACTGAAGAAAAGGCAGCCAGATGGAGGAGATAGTGAGACCTAGAGATATATATATGGGAGCTGGTACTCTTATTTGTAAAGGGGAACCGCGGACCTGGCAGGTGAAAGAAGACAATTACTGCAGCCCAACAGTTGTGTAGGTGAAAAGAGGACAGGATTGCACTATACTTGCTGCTTTATTTGCCAAGTAATGGGCAAGATTTGGGCAAAGGTGATTGGAAGATAAGATATTGCCTGAAGAGTCCACTGCAGTTCTCTTCCTCTGTATTAAGCTTAGTCCAGGATGGGTGATTTTAGGTATTTCCCCTAGGATACTGCTCCTTGCCAGGGTAGGTGCAATGAGACTCTAAAGGTGGATGAGCACAAGGTCCAAAGACTGAGGGGACTGAAGGGCACTGAAGCACTTAGTCTGTTGAAGGCTAAGAGACACCATGCAGACCCAGAGGTAGACGGAGGGGCAGGAAGGAAACCAGAAGAGTGTGGTGTCCACAGATCAAGTAGTTTCGAGGAGGAGGGAAGAAACAGTTGTGTCTGAGGCTCCTGAGAGGTCAAAATGAGAGCTGAGAATTGATCACTGTATTCAGCAGTCTGGAGTCCATTTGTGAGGTGTCAAGGGAAGTTCCATGGAACAGAGGTATCCGAAGTCTGGAAAAGGGAGGACAGAGTGGAAGAGAGGGCATGGAAATCAGACAGCTCTTGCGTGAGTTTTGCTATCCGGCAAACTGAGGAAAAGGCAGCCAGATGGAGGAGATAGTGAGACCTAGAGATATTTATATGGGAGCTGGTACTCTTATTTGTAAAGGGGAACCGTGGACCTGGCAGGTGAAAGAAGACAATTACTGCAGCCCAACAGTTGTGTAAGTGAAGAGAGGACAGGATAGCCCTATACTTGCTGCTTTATTTGCCAAGTAATGGGCAAGATTTGGGCAAAGGTGATTGGAAGATAAGATACTGCCTGAAGAGTCCACTGCAGTTCTCTTCCTCTGTATTAAGCTTAGTCCAGGATGGGTGATTTTAGATATTTCCCCTAGGATACTGCTCCTTGCCAGGGTAGGTGCAATGAGACTCTAAAGGTGGATGTGTACCATTCCCCCTCCACCCAACTCCACAAAAGCTTAACAAGCTCTGGCAGCAACAAAACCCAGCAGGTGTCTCAGACCACACTGGAGCTCGGAGAAGCCTCCAGAGGAAGCAGAGGAATCAGCATGGTGGAGTTTGCACCTTTGTTTGTGCCCCTGGAATGCAGGCTGCACACCTTCGCGGTCTTTCAGTTGATCTTCTCTTACTTGGCCCTACGTAAGGAAAGCTGAGATGGACTTGGGAGGCCATGGGCACCTGCCACTTCAGGGGCCCATGGTGCATTGAAGGGGGAAAGATACAGGTCCTAAGGTGGAGGCTGAACCTAGTTTCTGGGGATCACTTGGAATGAGGGACATCTTGTTCACACGGCCTTGGGGGAGTTTTGCCAGCAGGGATTATCTGACTCTCCGTGTCCACCTCAGCCTAGCCTGGGATGTGTCAGTTTACAGGGGCAGACAGAGAGGCAAGGGACCTTGGGCCTGGAGCTAGAAGGAGGGCAGCTGAGAAAAGGCCTCTGGACCCTCTGATGCCAAGAATCATAGCTTGTACCTTGTAGGAAAAGACCTATGGTTACCAGGGAATAAGGGGGAAGGATTAAATGGGAAATTTGGATTGACAAATGACACTACTGCATATAAGAGAGAGAACAATACGAACCTGCTGTATAGCACCGGGATCTCTGCTCAGTGCTCTGCAGTGATCTGTATAGGAAAGGAATTAAGAAAAAAAAGCAAAACCAGAGTCAATATGTGTATGAGTTTAACAGGTCTACTTTCCTACACACCTGAAACTAATACAACATGTACAAGAACGATACTGTAAAGAACACTTAAGAAAAAAAACACCAAAGAGCCATTTCGATGACAAGTATATGTTAAACGTATTTTACTGTTGTGAAAACTGAAAAGACAAGACAAAGTGCTCCAAACACAACCCTGAAGCCAGCACCAGGAGGGCAGGACTTCCTGTCCGCTGCTCACGGCTGCAGTCACACAACACCAGCACCTGACAGGCTCTAGGTGCTCTGCAGAAAGCCAGCCTCTGTGAGCCCCCAGCTACTTGGACTTATGCCTTTTGCTTCTGCTCAGACTGGGCTTCCCCAGTGCCTCAGCACTAAAGAAACTGCCTGCAATGCAGGAGCCACAGGAGATGCGGGTTTGATCCCTGGGTCTGAACGTTCCCCTAGAGAAGAGCATGGAAACTAACTCCAGTATTCTTGCCTGGAGAATCCCATGAACAGTGGAGCCTGGAGGGCTACAGTGCACAGGACTGCAAAGAGTCAGACACCACTGAAGCAACCTAGCACCCACACATGCACTATTCAGACTGGGTCGGAAGTCCACTCCTCCAGGAAGTCAGACATGAAAGACAGTTCTGGTTTACCCTACTTTCAAACAGACTACAGGTGGGGGATGAACTTCTTTATGAGTGTGAGCCAAGTGTGTTGAGTGGAGGGAATGGAATGTAGAGGATACAATATTCTGTAACAGTGAGGCTCAATTATCATCAGATTAAAGATAGCCCCAAAGACCACCTAACCCTGAGTCAAAACCAGGATTAGCCGGTGACAGGACTCAGAATCATAACTCTGGGAATTACTCACTAGGGCTCTTTCTAGCTCTGCTGCAGTTCTGATGAATGGACCAGGCATGAGTTGTCCACTTCCTTCCTCCTTCCTTCAGCAAGACTGGACCTGGCAGCAAGGGAAAGAGCTCAGCAAACCTAAAGACTTGGGAGTTGTATCAGCTGAGCATCTTAGAGCAGCTGGAACATGAGGTTCATGGGGTGAGCGAGACTGGAACAAGAGGGGTTTGGGGCCACCAGTGGGGAGCTTGAGATCAGGCTGAGCTGCTTGAGCTGAGCTCAAAGTTATAAGAAGTCATGGGGGGACTTTAACTAAGAGGGAATGTGGTGGGATTTATCTATGGAAAGATGAGTTGGGAGTAGACAAGAAGTGGGTTGGGTAGAAAGAATATCTTTTCTGTGGGGTTCTAAAAACTGTATACCAGAAGAGTTCATCCAGTCACATCTCTACCGGGCACTTATTAAGAATCTGGTGAATACAGACTGAAAAGGATTTGGAGTTGTAGAGGGAAGACCCAAATGACTAAGGCATCTGGTGCAGTGGGAAAATGCGAGTTTGAAATTAGGCCAACTGGTTTCAAATCCAGGCTCTCAATGTGACACTGGTGGTGTTGAGTGCATTCTCTCCTCCTCCAAACTTAGGAAGCTGATCGCTTCCTCCTAGAGGAGGGCTGGAAAGGACAGTGCTACTAGAGCTGGGTATACAGGAAGATGTCGTTCGTTCACATCTCTGAGCACTAATGGTTCCTGCTTCCCTTCCCAGACTTGGTCTGCAGCATAGTATTCATTGGCCTACTGTTGACAAGATTCTGGATGATCAGTAATCTGTACATCATCTGGTGGTACCTGTATCGAGACACGCCATGGCAGGGGGGCAGGCAGAGTGCTTTCATAAGGCACTGGACCATATGGAAGTACACGAAGGACTATTTCCCCATCTCGGTGAGTATGGGGCTGACTAGGGATTGGTAAGGACTACAGTCCTCATTTGTCCATGGGGATGTTCGACCCTGTGTGCAGTGAGCAGAATACTGGGCCGGGAGCAGGAGACAGGCTTGTACTGCTATGTGGCTAGGGGAAGATCAGCATTTGTCTGACTATGCTTGTCTGTCTTCAGTGAGGTGAGGCCACTGTGACAACTGATGAATGAACAGGATTTGAGGAACCCAGCTGGCCTTGTAGTGCAGCACACTTCTGTATCTTATAGGTATAAATCCCTCGATAGTCTAAGTTTGGGGTGAAGGAATCCATAATGGAAACAAGATTTTTAGAGCATCTTGCTGACACTTTATCAGATGATGATACTGATACCCTGAGAGGGAAGAAGATGTGAGCAAGGATATAGAGCAGGTTCTTTTAAAGCATTCTCTCCTCCTCCAAACCTTGGGAAGCTGATCGCTTCCTCCTAGGAGGAGGGCTGGAAAGGACAGTGCTGCTAGAGCTGGGTATACGGGAAGACATCGTTCCTTCATGTCTCTGACCACTAATGGTTCCTGTTTCCCTTCCCAGACTTGGTCTGCAGCATAGTATTCATTGGCCTACTGTTGACAAGATTCTGGATGATCAGTAATCTGTACATCATCTGGTGGTACCTGGATCGAGACATGCCATGGCAAGGGGGCAGGCAGAGTGCTTTCATAAGGCACTGGACCATATGGAAGTACACGAAGGACTATTTCCCCATCTCGGTGAGTATGGGGCTGACTAGGGATTGGTAAGGACTACAGTCCTCATTTGTCCATGGGGATGTTCGACCCTGTGTGCAGTGAGCAGAATACTGGGCCGGGAGCAGGAGACAGGCTTCTACTGCTATGTGGCTAGGGGAAGATCAGCATTTGTCTGACGATGCTTGTCTGTCTTCAGTGAGGTGAGGCCACTATGACAACTGATGAATGAACAGGATTTGAGGAACCCAGCTGGCCTTGTAGTGCAGCACACTTCTGTATCATATAGGTATAAATCCCTCGATAGTCTAAGTTTGGGGTGAAGGAATCCATAATGGAAACAAGATTTTTAGAGCATCTGGCTGACACTTTATCAGATGATGATACTGATACCCTGAGAGGGAAGAAGATGTGAGCAAGGATATAGAGCAGGTTCTTTTACTGCTTTGAAAGTGTGTGCATTGGCTCTGAGAATAGACACAGAGCAGAGAGCCCTCAGGACGTATCCTGCCGCTGTGTGTTTTATATATTATGTATCCTTGGACAGAGCTTTGCTCACTCTGAATCTCAGTTTCCTCACGGATCCACCAAAGAGTCCAGTTATCCTCTTCAGCCTATCTCTTAATCTCGTATCTCTGGCTCATGGTACCTCGTGTCGGTTTGGTGCATTGAACTCTGGACCAAGGATCAGTCCTTAGAGATGCAGGCCCCTGAATTTTAGTGAAGTGACTTTTGCTCCATTCTGAATCCCAGACAGGCTAATTCCTTGGATGTAAGCAGTTGTGATGGTTAATTATCTAGTGGGGCTAGGAAGAGTAAGGGAATGAGGGCACAGAGAGGAGCCAGACAGGGACAAGTGGCCCTCTTTGGACACAGGAGACAAGAATGTATATGGTATCACCTCTGGGAGTGGACATAGGTTCTAACACGGGTCTGCAACATGCCAGTTGTATGACCTTACATGAGTTTCACATGCTCTATTAGCTTCAATTTCTTCATGTGTAAAGTAGAAATGCTGCCACATACATCCTTGGGTTGTGTGGATTCCATGAGACATCAGGTGATCCTGGGCCTTCTAAGGACAGCATCTGGCTCTCCTTTCACCCCTGGAACTGCTGTCCTTTGCACATCTGGCAGAAAAACACTGCTGAGCTTTTCTGCGGCGGTTTATCTATGTCTGTTCTGTCCCTCCTGTAACCAGGTATCTCCCCCAGAGGATTTCTCACATAGGACACTATTGACATTGTGGGAAACATATTTGCAGAAATTTCAGGAGCACAGTGTTCAGGATTGTGGGCCACTGCGGTCCTGTGGCAACAGCAGCTGCAGACGCCGGGCAGTACCAGCGGGCGGCCAGCAGAGGGAGCGAGGACATGCACTTTCACCTCCCTTTCCTGGACTGAGGTCTGCAGGAGGTGCTGTGGCTCACAGTTTCTGGACTTGTCACCTCCCAGGACAACTTCTAAGACATCCACACACCTTAACAGAGCAGGCCTTGCAGGGATCTTTGGTTGGCAGTGGATAGGGGGGTCAGGGAGTCCCTATTGTCTACTGAAAACAAGTGTACAAGCTTAGTGTCAGGTGTGTTGTTCTGAGGCCTTACTGAGGACTGTATTCAGAGATAGCCTCTCAGAAATCTCTGAGGAGCTTGCTCTAAAAGGGAAGGGAGAAGTCAGTACTTATGGGGCTTTGTTGCAAAAAGAAAAGTGAACAAAACAACCCACATAGCTAAACATCAAAAGATTACTGCCAGTGAAAAAGCAGATGTCTCCAATTAAGGATTTTCATGTTTTTCTACATATGGGGAGATACAAAATCTGGGCTCACTGCAACTATTCCTTTGATGTGCATACTCACTCTCTATGACCATTATCCTATTTTTCTCCATCCTGAATTCCTTTCAAGACCCATTGTCAGTTGCAGCAACAGTGCCTGCTTGCTTGAAGGCAAGCAACAACATTCCTTGTCCTAAAAACTGTGCTCGGGCTACTCCACATCACAAGCCTTTCTGCTGTGATTCTACCAGCTAGGGCCTAATGGCAGAGTTTCTAGAGAATTTAGCAGACTACTGCTGAGCACTGGAGCTTTCTAAATGCACCCAATGGGCTTCCCACAGAGGTAACATTGGAGAATCAGGCAGGGTTTCCCTGAGGACAATTGATTCCCTCTCATCCTGAAGATCAGTTCAGGAGCTGGGTTCTGTGTAAGATTTCATTGTCCAGGAAGCAGTGTCTACCCAGGCCAAGGCCTGAGCAGGGGTGCAGTGCTGCGGGCAGGCTGTGACCTGGTGTCAGGAAGTGCTGCAGACTTGACAGGACACCTCCCTGACCCCTCTCCACCCACACCTGCAGGCATCACTAGAGACTTCATGCCCCTGCTAACAAACTCTACCTTCAGCACCCTGGGGTCTCTTACACTGAGTCACAGCGACTCAGGGATCCAGCTCTTTACCCAGGATGGAACTTCAGATGCCACAAAACTTGGTAAGAGGCTCACTCCCTCCTGTGCTGGCTCCTTCCTTCTAGTCAGGATCTGCCTGGGACAGGGTCTCCCTCCACATAGGACATTGGCTTCTATCCAGTCTTCTTCCCAGGAATCCTACCTCTGCCTTGGGCAGGGATCTTCCTTCCCTGGCAGGGCGCATTGGCCTCATCCATTCATGGGTCTGTTCTCTCCCTCTTCATTCCATAGTCTCCCAGAGCATCTCCTCTGCTCCATGCTTGCACTGGGGACAGGATCCTCAGACAGGCCATCTCTCATCACAAGACACTCACATGGGGTCTGATCGCACTTGGGCACAGGGGACACACAGAGGAGTTCAGCACAGAAACAGAACAGGAAGACCCGAGCAGGGGTTGGGGGTAAGTAGGTGCAGCCCCAGTTCACCAGATTGCAGTCCCTACAGCTGGTGAAACCCGCTGAGCTGGACCCCTCCCGGAACTACCTCGCTGGCTTCCACCCTCATGGGGTCCTCGCCACTGGAGCTTTTACCAACATGTGCATGAAGGCCACGGGTTTCTCCTCAGTTTCTAAAGGCATCCGCTCACATCTGATGATGTTGCACTGGAGTTTCTGGGTCCCTGTCTTCAGGGATTGCATCATGTCAGTGGGTGAGTCCTGCCACTCTTTCTATCCCAGGAAGATGAGGGCTGCAGGCATGAGGAAGGGTTTTAAGGAAGGCGGCCAATTGTTCTCTACTTCTTCCAAGTGAATGTGCGATAGACAAGGAGATGAGATGAGACCCAAAGAAGCATTTTCCATTCCTCTGTGCTCATGACCTTGGCAGGAGTGTTGGGAAAAGGAGTAACATTCAGTGCCTGTCATTGGGGTACTCCCAGTTCGAGAGTCGGAGAGAGTCCTTGTCATTCTCCTGATCCATGCTTGCCGCCTTCACACTGTATGTGACCACCTTCCTCTCTCCCCAGGGCTGGTCTCATCAGACATGGAGAGTGCTGATCACATTCTGAGCAGGAAAGGAGGTGGCAACCTGCTGTCCATCATTGTTGGGGGTGTCCAGGAGGCACTGAATGCCAGGCCTGGAACCTTCAAGCTGGTGCTGCGGAACCGCAAGGGCTTCATCAGGCTTGCCGTGATGCACAGGTATTGGGGAGAGGGCTCTGGGTTCACCTGGAGATTGGCAAGGACTGTAGTTTGGAGGGAAGGCTGCAGAGGCAAATGCAGATCCTATTTTGGCAGGGAGAGTCTCCAGTCATTAACAATGAAGATTGTATTTTGTGATAGATGCACACTCTCAGGCCCACACACCCAGAGAAGATTCTAGAAGGAAGACATTGTAACTAAGGGATTAAGTCTCAAAAGTCATATTGCTGACAACTCTCATTACATCAGAGATCTAGGAACTCTGGGAGAGTGGAGCTTGGGACATAACTTAAAGCTATCTCCTATCTATAAATATCTGTGAAGAATGCAAAGTTAGCTGGAAGAGATTTTCTGAAAATGTCTGCAGTGGTTTTAAAACTGGGAGGATTCTCCACAGTATTCTGGTTTGTCTAATGATGCTGTAACCAAAAAGGGTTAATCCTCAACTTGTGCTGGACCTTCTTCTCTAACTTTAACCTTCATCTTGGAGCTTTTGTTACTGTGGGAACACCTAATGGGCTGCCTAAGGAAGATAACCTGAGCTGCCCTCCAGAACTTTAAGGAAATGAAACTAACACATTCCTCTGCCTGAGGCTCGCCATTCTATTAGACATTTGCAAGGATCAAATCGTCTTCTTAGTTTGTTTCCTCGCCTCTATCCCAATCTATGATCCATAAAGAACTTGGCAACCTGGCCCTTCAGGATGATTATTTAGAGACACTAGCCTGCTGTCTTCTTGGTCATCCACTCCGAATAAAGTCCTTTCCTCATCCCAACACTTCCTCTCAGACTCAGCGGCCTATCTTGTGGCAAGCAGAGAGCGCATGGACTCAGAAAAAGTCCGAGTGCCAGTCCTTGGCCCTGAGAAGAGCCATGACCCACTTGAAGTTATAAAGGAAGGCCGTGGCAGGTCCTTGAGACACCCGAGGTCTTCCACAAAAGACCCAGGGTTCTGTCCTCTGTTCCAGTTCCTGATCACTAGGTCCCTTCAGGAGGCTAGGGGACCAGCTTGTGCCTTCTTGCCCCTCCACACACCCTCTCCCCTGTCTCCCTCTAGGGAAGCTCTGGTGCCGATCTTCTCCTTTGGGGAGAATGACATATATGACCAGGTTGAGAACTCTTGGGGTTCCTGGTTTCGGTGGTTCCAGGACCAACTTCACAAGAGCACTAGAGGCTCCATCCCTCTCTTCTATGGCCATGGAGTCTTCCAGTACAGCTCTGGTCTTATGCCCTATCACCGACCCATCACCACTGTGGGTGAGCCTAGACCCGGGCTGGGAAGGGGAGGTGTTACAGAGTAAGAGGCCTGGGCTTGTGCTACAAGGGGACATGGATCAATACACCCTTGACATTGTGGAGGACACTTTCTGGTGTGTGAAACAGACACACAGGCAAGCCACCCAATGAAAGGCAGTCTAGGAGAAGAGTAACAAGGACACAAAGGTCAGAAGCCACTACTAATTACTGAGACACTGCAGTGTGTCAGACACTGTACTGAGTCCTCACATGCAGCAGCTTATTTTTCCCAACAACTTGTGAGGTAGGACTCTCATCCCCATTTTAATGATTGCAAACCTAGATCCACAGAGAGATCACCAGTATTCCAAGAGCTCACCCTGCCTTTGGTAACAAGGTTGAGGTTCGATAGGAGTATTTGCCTTTTTATTATGCAAGACAGCAAGGGTTTAATTCTGACCACAGGGTCCAATGACAGTAACTGGAGAAGGTGGATCTAAGACCATGGCAGGTCTGTTAGATCCCTGGGTAAAGTAGCAATCAGCAGTCTCTGAAGGAGAGCCACAGGGATTTCCTTGTAAATAATGGACTTGGGCTTTAGTCCATAGACTTAGCACTGTCTTTCGACTATTTGCTTTCTTCTTGAATTTCAACTAGGTTCCAGCAGGAGAACTAATAGAGCTGTTCATCTCCACTTACCCAGTCATTTCTTAGTTGAATACAGGCAAACCCCTCTACCAAACTTTGTTTGCATTATGTGGTAATATTCTAATGAATGNTTTCTCTTCCTCTGCATTGATTGACAGCACAGAAGCCACCAGCAAGTGCAGGGCTTTCTCCTACAAGCTCCTGCATCCTTCCTGTCCAGCTCCTCCCTCCCAGAGCTGGAGAGGAAGGCCAGGCCACAGCCTCCTGATTCGTCCAGGCACCTTTGAGTTTCTGAGCGTCTGAGTCCCTGGCTGGCAGCCACAGGGGCCCACGAGGTGGTGAAGGAGAATTCAGCTCTGTCATTGGCTAAATGACTATGCACAGTCCTCTTCACCCTTCCTCTGAGTCTCTGTTTTCCTGGTTGTATAAAGTGACCTCTCAGCTCTGATATCACATGAGTTGAGAGCTCCATGAGATAGCCCCTACTCATTTGTTGTAACTTCAGTCCTGAGCTTGACACAAAAGGGAGCTCCATCAATGTCAGTTTATCAATGAAAGGATCCTATTTCAGGCTTCTTCTCTTCTTCCACCCTACTCCCCAACTGGGAACACTGATCAAAGCCTCCCATTTAACCCCAGCCTGGCCCTGCAGCCCTGCTGTCATGTCTCCCCTTCCCACGTGGTGGATCCAATGATCCAGAGAATGGCATGTTGCCTCCTCCTCCCTGTCCAGTCAGCTCCAAATTACCAGCTCTGCCCTGTTCTGTGGGAGACAAGGGAGAGGCTATCTGCAGACACAGGGTAGACCAGGGAGAGAAGAAACATGAGGAGTGCATGGTCCTGTGTGTCTGCAAGCAGGCAGGACAAGGACATGCCTCTGATAAGAGATATTCTGGGCCACTGGTCAGTGACACACATCGTAAATATGTGTCCAAGCCTGACCTAACCCTTAGCAGTGGCCATGAGCAAGTCACATCCCTTCCAAACCTCACTTTTGTTCTTAGAGAAAAAAGCATTACAATGTGCACCTTCAGTGTTAGGAGTGGAATGGATTTAATAAAATAATTAACCATTCTACATCCTGTGAGGAATAGTGGGAAAGTGAAAGTCGCTAAGTCCTGTCAAACTCCTTGTGAGCCCAATGACTATAGCCTGCCAGACTCCTCTGTCCATGGACTTCTCCAGACCAGCATAATGGAGTGGGTAGCTGTTCCTTCCCTAAGGGATCTTACCAACCTAGGGATTGAACTCAGGTCTCCACATGACTGGTGGGTTGTTTACCATCAGAATCAGAAGGGAATGTTTGTGGGCAGGTATGATTATAAGTCAGGTTGTATATGTAAGGCCTCTGAGACTCCAGACCCAACTTTCCCTGAGGCTAAGAGCCCATCCCCAGGGCTTACACCCTGGTACTGATTTTTTCCTGGCTATGTGACCTTCAACAAGTTATTTAACCTTCCTGGGTCTCATTTCCTCAGCTGTCCAACAGGAATAATACCAGGCTATATCCCCATAGGATTGATAGGATAACATTAAAAAAAAATGCATGCAAATGCCTGCTGGCTGTGCTTTTGATATACAGATTCTTGTAGTTGAGCTATCATCTTTGAACCTATGGTGCAAAATGGAATTGAAAGGGAAGGATTTAGAGTGCTTACTTGCTCAGATGACCATTGTTGTGGGAACACCAAGGTCCCTGTGCATTCAGTGGTTCCAGCTCTGAGCCACCACACACCTCTCTGTCTTGCAGTGGGGAAGCCCATGGAGGTGCAGAAGACACCACATCCCTCCCAGGTGGGGGTAGGTTTCACCAGCGCTACATGAAAGAGCTGGAAAATCTCTTAAAAGCCCACAGGCTCAAGTACAACGTCCCCAGAGACCACCACTCGGCGATCTGCTGAAAGCCACCCAGAGGAGGGGTTCCTTCAAAATGCAGGGCTAGCATAAGGGGTGGATGGAGGGAGGTGCTGTGATCCCAGAAGGCTTCCTGGAGGTGTCTGTTGAACACATCTCCAGAGCCTTCACTGACTCCGGCAGCTCCACCGCATGCCAGGCCCCAGGTCACAGCTGGCTCCTGGGAGAGGAGACCAGACTCTGGCATCAGTGATTTGCTCTCCAGCTGTGCCTCCTCTCTAATGGGTCCTCTTCATGTCTGCCCACCTGAGAAATGGGAGAGATGCTGGGAGAGAATGATGTCTGTGTCTGTGTCCTTTGTGATCCTGTCACTCAATGAGCAGGACAAAGAGCAGCTCCAGTGAGCAGGTTTTTCTTCCTCTGCCTTCAGTGACAGCACAGAAGCCACCAGCAAGTCCAAGGATTTCTCCTACAAGCTCCTCCAGCCAAAACCTCCAGATTCAACCAGGTACCTTAGAGTTTCTGAGTCATCTGAGCCCCAGGCTGGCAGCCAGAGAGGCCCACGAGGTGGGGAAGGAGACTTCAGCCCTCTCACTGGCTAAATGACCATGAGCATACTTATTCACCCTTCTTCTGAGTCTCTGTTTTCCTGAGTGACTAAGGTAATCTCTGCCCTCAGCTCTGATGTCATATGAGTTGAGAGCTCCACGAGAAAGCCCCTACTCATCCTTTGTAACTTCAGCCCTGAACTTGACACAATAGGGAGGTCCATCAATGTCAGTTTATCAATGGAAGGATTCTGTTTCAGCCTTCTTCTCTTCTTCCACCATACCTCCCAACTGGGAACACTGATCAAACCTCCCATTTAACCCCAGCCTGGCCCTGCAGCCCTGCGGACACGTTTCCCCTTCCCACGTGGTGGATCCAGTGGGCCACAGAATAGCATATTGCCTCTTCCTCCCTGACCAGTCAGCTCCAAATTACCACCTCCGCCTGTCCTGTGGGAGACAAGGGAGAGGCTATGTAGAGACACAGGGCAGACCAGGAAGAGAAGGAACATGAGGAGTGAGTGGTCCTATGTTTCTGCAAGCAGAGAAGACGAGGATATGCCTCTGATGAGAGGTATTCTGGGCCACTGGTCAGTGACACACATCATAAGGGAGGGGACAGGATGGGAGCACAGGGCCAGTATTGTGAGTCCTAACAGCTTTGTGTGAAAATAGCTTTCCTTCCAACAGAAGCTAATAACACCAATAACTATGAATGTGGGCCATCTCAAGGATGTGAATATGCATCCAAGCCTGATCTAAACCTTATCATGGACCACGTGCAAGTCACATCCCCTCAAAACCTCCATTTTGTTATCAGAGGAACAAGCATCACAATGTGCACCTCGAATCTTAGGAGTGGAATAGATTTATTGAAATAATGAACCATTCTACATCTTGTGAGAAAGGTGGAAAAGTGAAAGTCACTCAGGCATGTCCAACTCTTTCAGACACATGCACTCTAGCCTGTCAGATTCCTCTGTCCATGAACTTCTCCAGGCCAGAATACTGGAGTGGGTAGCTGTTCCTTCTCCAGGGGATCTTACCAACCCAAGGACTGAACTCAGATCTCATGCATTGCAGGTGTATTCTTTACCATCTGAGCCACTAGGGAATGTTGGTAGGTTGGTGTAATTAGATGTCAGGACATATATATACCCAGCATCTCATGATGGCCTGTTTTGACCTGATGAAGTGGGTGCTATAGGTTCCTAAGAGAAGCAGGTATGAAGAGCAATAGGTTTGAGATGGTGAGTGAGAGTTTCCACGAGGGAAGACCGAGGAGGTGGCAGGTGGGCACGACCATGAAAGCAAGGCAAGATTCTCCAAGGAGATAAATTCCTGCCCACTGCAATTTCCCTTTCTTGGGTAAGAAACCCCTGCAGACCTTAGTGTCTGAAGGCAGCATGGAGTTATTATGTCTTCACTTTTCTGGGTAGCTGGGTGTTTCTTCTATGAGCTCCCGCTCTCACATACTGTGTTCTGGGACTTGCTGATCTTTTTCCTTGAACACCTTATCTCCTCAAATTGGCCAATGAATGTCACCTCCTTTGCCATTTCACATCTACACCCCTCGTCAATTCCAATATTCTGCCCTCCCAACTCAGTCTCCTGATCTCAGTCAGTGAATCAATTTGTGGGCTCACTTGGGGTTTTTGGCCATGAGTATTAATGGATGAGTAGCCAATATTGTACCCTGGGCATTGGGAGCAACTGAGGCTTCCCACTCAGTTCATTCATGAGGAGGCAGCCAACCTGTTCTAGTGTGGGGGGACCAGAGCCTTGATTTGGGCTGGAGGATACACCCTCAAGCTCACTCACAAAGCTTCTGGCAGAAGATCAGAGCCCCGCCTGAGGGCTTGTCAATGACTTGGTAGTTGCCACTCAGCAGACTTCTCCAGAGCAAGCCAGTCATGAAGGAGAGACAGAGGGTGAGGAAGGGAGAGTTAGAGAGCAGACACCTTCTACTGCCTAACCTCTGAGGCACTCGGCTTCAATTCTACCTTACCCTCTCAGTGGGATTCGAGTCCCTAAGTCCAATTCACACTCCATAGGACGATGTGACACCTGGAGGTGATGGCACTGGAGGCATCTTGCCAGCATTACCACAGTGATAGCCCATGAGTCCTCAGAGACTAGACTAGGCAACTCCATGCTGTGGGTGCTGCTGGAGGCAGTCTCCTGGGAGATAAATGCTGAGATATCCACACAGCAGAGCCCCATGTGGGGCAAAATTGTGAGCACAGGTCAGAGGTAGGAATCATGGTTGTGATCCCAGGCCTGGCTGGGACGCAGTGCAAGGTGAGAATCAGACTTAGAGCACCTGGATGAGGGGTGGGGGATGGGGAGAGACTGGCAGGGCCAGAGGGAAGGAGATCCCCTCATTCACCACAACTTTGAGCTGCACGAAAAGGAAGCAGAGAGCGTGAACTCGGAGGAGTGCTGCCTAGTGAGGAACTGCAATAGTTATATCCGCACTGGCTATTATGTGAACAAAGATGTGCTTTAATGTGTTAAGCACTGATCATGGGATGTTATGCAGTTGGCATCCTCATGGATACAGAGAGCCTGGAGCTGCACAACAAGGGTCCAATACAACACAGCACCTGCTACCTGACATCCCTCTCTGTCCCCAGGGCACCCGAGGGGACTTGCCCTCAGAGGAAATCTCCCACGAGCACACAGGCTGACTCAGACAGTCCAAGGAGTACAGGAGCTGTTAGGTAGAGACTCAGAGGCCCTCAGGGTTGGGCAGAGCTGGAGTCTCCTCCTGAAATCAGGCAGCTGGTGACCTGGAACAAGTTCTCAGACATCACGACCCACAGGGGACAATGGACCAGCTGGGGTCTAACCTGGTGACACTCGTGGATGGTAATGACATGATACTGACAGGGGGTCTGTCAGCACAGATCCGTCTGCAGTCACGTGGGCTGGTCAAGCCTCACCCTGTCCTGTGGAATGAACTTTGCTAGGTCAGGAGATAAGAGAGGTGGGAGCGTGGGAGCTGTGAGAGAGCCAAGGCAGAGAGCAGGGAGCATCAAAGCACAGGTGGATGAGATTTCCTGGTAAGATTCAGGGTGAAAGTGAGGATTAGGAAACATGAGGCTAAGGTTTATGCCTCTGGGAAGCAAACATCTATGGAGATGGGAGTGGGCAGTGTAGACAGGGTCCCTGAGAAACACTGCCTTGCGTCTGGGCAACTACGGTCTTGTCCAAGGGTTAGGAATTCATCATCAGGTAAGGAGGAGGCCTCCAAGGTACTCGAGTTGAAGCGAGTCATGGAACAGATAGGAGGACAGTGGATGCCTCAGGATGGACTGGGCATCTGCCTTAGTGACCCCACAGCAGGGCAGAGGCAGCTGCCTGAGCAACTTGCTAGTGAGCACCTACTACGTGCTGGGCTGTGGGTGGATGCTACTCATGTAGTATGTCAATGTAACTAACAGTGACCTCCTCAAAGAGATGAGGTTCATAACAGAGGTAAGGACCTTTCTAGAATCTTGGTCCCATTATGAAACCTGTCTGCCCAGGTGTCCTGCTTTCACCTTGCCTTCTGTGTTCTCAATCGTGGCAGAATAATATTCTGAAAACACCAATGGCATCAACTGGTTATACGCCCTCACCCACTTGACCCACCTGCTGGCTGCATGTCCCCTCACAACACTTATTCCCTCCCATCTTCATCTATAAATTGTTCCCCCAAAACTGAGGGTCAAATTAATGCCAGCTCTTCCTCATCTGCTCTTTCTATAAATGCCTGGATATGGTTTTAAAAGACCTTAGAGGGCTTGTATCAATCACCAACTAGGTATGGACTTTTTAAGATTCCATATCATTTTCTCACTCCCTACCAGAGAGCTGACCTGAGTGTTTCCTTCTTCTACAAGTTGAACTTGTGCCACGTCTGTCAAGTTACATCCCTAGTGAGAGCTAGATGGAAATAGATGGGCAGGAAGATTCCTTCTCTCAGCTATTTCATGAGGGACCCTGAATATTAACAAGAACAGCATCATGCACTGGTCTTATCAGTAAATATCAGTGCTGCAGGATTAAAAGGGCCACCTCCCTCTCAAGGTGTTAAAATGTCAGACGTTCTTATTGTAGTTACCCTCGATTAGTGGGCCTCCCTTGTGGCTCAGCTGGTAAAGAATCCACCTGCAATGTGGGAGACCTGGGTTCAATCCCTGGGTTGACAAGATCCCCTGAAGAAAAGAAAGGCTACCCACTCCAGTATTCTGGCCTGGGAAAGTTCATGGACTGTATAGTCCATGGGTTCACAAAGAGTCCACACTATTCAGCTACTTTCACTTCACTTGAATAATGGGAAATATTACCTCAATATGTCATGTTAAAGGTGGATATTTTTGTAATATTTCTTTTTTCTTACCTACCACAAAGTTATTTATTTTTAATTGCTTTTGTTGTTTTGGCAGTAAGTCTTGTCCAACTCTTTTTTTTTTTGAAATTAAGTACTATAATTTATTTAACATAGTATATAAAACATTATCATTCTGACATGTAATCAATAAAAAATATATTGATGAGATATTTTAGTTGTTTTCCATTTGAAGTCTTCAAATCGGGCAAGGAGTGGGGACTGGGGAGGGGCAGTTATAAACCAAAGGAAATTCATGAAATCAGCCCAGGGTTTCCTGCATTCGCCTATTTGCAAGGCCTAGGTATAAATCCAGAGTTGCATGGTCTACACTGTCTAAAGTCTTGTCCAACTCTTTGCGATCCCATGAAGTGTAGCCCATTAGTCTCCTTGTCTGTGGGATTTCACAGGCAAAAATACTGAACTTAGTTGCCATTTCCTTCTCCAGGGGATCTTCCTGACCAAATGTTGACCCCTCATCTCCTGCATTAGCAGGCGGATTCTTTGCCACTGAGATACCAAAGAGGACCATCCATTTGTAAAATACAATAATAATTACCATAGAAATGAGAAAACACACATGTCAAATCCAGTTTTTAATTGTTAGTTTCATACACATAGAACTGCTTTGCCACATTGCTCTAAGTTTTCTGAGCTGTTACTCTCCAACCCTGTACTCGTAAGGAACCAGTAACATGCAGGACCAGACAAAGCAGGTCCTCAGACCACACAGGAGCCACACTACCCAGAACATAGGTTGATCCATGGTTGCTTACCTGTAAGGGGGTTGTGAGGTGAAGGGCACAGAACCCCAGTGGACGGCTGAGTGCTGTACATGGGTCAGTAAGGGTCCCCATCTTAGGCCCTGATGTCCAGTAGCATGAGGAGCTCTGGGAAGGGAAGAACTTGTCTGACGTCACACAGCTGGGAGGTGGCCAATACAAGACTGGTCTCAGCTCTCATCCATGGCTCTTCCAAATCCCTGGGTTGGGAAGATCCCCTGGAGAAAAGAAAGGCTACCCACTCCAGTATTCTGTCCTGGGAAAGTTCATGAACTGTATAGTCCATGGGTTCACAAAGAGTCCAGACTATTCAGCTACTTTCACTTCACTTGAATTGTGGGAAATATTACCTTAATATGTCATGTTAAAGGTTGATATTTTTGTAGTATTTCTTTTGTCTAACCTACCACAAATTTATTTATTTATAATTGCTTTTGTTGTTTTGGCAGGAAGTCTTGTCCAACTCTTTGTGATCCCATGAAGTTTAGCCCATTAGGCTCCTTGTCTGTGGGATTTCACAGGCAAAAATACTGATCTGAGTCACCATTTCCTTCTCCAGGGGATCTTCCTGACCAAATGTTGACCCCTCATCTCCTGCATGAGCAGGCTGATTATTTACCACTGAGATACCAAATAGGACCATCCATTTGTAAAATACAATAATAATTACCATAGAAATGAAAAAACACACATTTCAAATCCAGTTTTTATTTATTAGTTTCATACACATAGAACTGCTTTGCCACATTGCTCTAAGGTTTCTGAGCAGTTACTCTCCAACCCTGTACGTACCTGGTCAGGAACCAGTAACAGGCAGGACCAGAAAAAGCAGGTCCTCAGACCATACAGGAGCCACACTACCCAGGACATAGGTTGATCCATGGCTGCTTACATTTAATGGGGTTGTGAGGTGAAGGGCACAGAACCCCGGTGGGTGGCTGAGCCCTGTACATGGGTCAGTAGGGGTCCCCAAATTAGCCCCTGACATACAGTAGAATGAGGAGCTCTGGGAAGGGAAGGACTTGTCTGAAGTCACACAGCTGGGAGGTGGCCAATACAAGACTGGTCTCAGCTCTCATCCATGGCTCTTCCAACCTGTCTTGTCGGAGGACCCAGGAAAAGAACTGCTAGATGCACCTTCAAGGGGCAGGGGTGGTCCCAGCTTCAGAGTTTCCTGCACAGGGGCAACTGATCCTAAGACAGATCAGGTAGAATATCAGCTTTGGCCACTTTAGCCCAATATAGGACTTCTTTGAGAAACTGTTTCGGTTCAACTTCTCCCTCTGCCTAATTTCACTGTCTTCTTTGATCATAAATTTCCCAGTTGGAAGAATGCAATGATAAAATTCATGTTCACTATTCATGAAGGGAAAATGTAAATCAATACTATGCCCTGATATCACTCTCAGTTCAGTTCAGTTCACTTGCTCAGTAATGTCCAACTCTTTGCAAGCCCAAGGACTACAGCACCCCAGGCTTCCCAGTTCATCAGCAACTCTGGGAGTTTTCTCAAACTTATGTCCATAGAGTCGATGATGCCATCTAATATCTCATTCTGTGTTGTGCACTTCTCCTGCTTCCTTCCATCTTTCTAGCATCAGAGTCTTTTCCAGTGAGTCTGTTCTCTGCATCAGGTGGCCAAAGTATTGGAGTTTCAGTTTCAGCATCAGTCCTTCCAATGAATATTCAGGATTGATTTCCTTTAGGATGGACTTGTTAGATTTCCTTGCAGTCCAAGGGACTCTCAAGAGTCTTCTCCAACACCACACTTCAAAAGTATCAGTTCTNCAAAGTAATGTCTCTGCTTTTTAATATGCTGTCTGGTTGGCCATAGCTTTTCTTCTAAGGAGCAAGTAGCTACAGTCTCCATCTGCAGTGATTCTGAAGCCCCCCAAAATAAAGCCTGTCACTGTTTCCATTGTTTCCCCATCTATTTGCCATGAAGTGTTTGGACTGGATACCATGATCTTAGTTTTCTGAATGTAAGCTTGAGAATTACTTTGGAAGTTTCTGACATGAGTGTAATTGTGCAGTGGTTTGAACATTCTTTGACAATGACTTTCTTTGGGATTGGACTGAAAACTGACTTTTCCAGTCCTGTGGCCACTGCTGAGTTTTCCAAGTTTGCTGGCATATTGACTGCAGCACTATCACATCATCTTTTAAGATTTGAAATAGCTCAACTGGAATTCCATCACCTCCACTAGCTTTGTTTGTAGTGATGCCTCCTAAGGCCCAGGGTGTTTGGCTCTAGTTGAGTGATCACACCATCATCCTTATCTGGGTCATGAA